GAATTGCGGCTTCAGTGGAAAGTTTGGTAGTGTCTGGAGCGGAGGCTACGGCACACTATGGGGGCCGCAATTTGCCCAGCTGGGGCCCGGGCCTGAGCCAGGAACCGCGCAGTAAAGAGGCCGCTGCAGGCTCCGTTGCCCTGGTAACCAGGCTAGCCTGAGAAATGGGCCAATGCGTCACACCAAGCAGGGAGCGTATGTGAAACGCAGGGGGCGCTGTCTGGGCACCTCGACTTGCTGATGAGGGGCAGGGGCGCTGTCTGGGCACCTCGACTTGCTGGTGAGGGGCAGGGGGCGCTGTCTGGGCACCTCGACTTGCTGGTGAGGGGCAGGGGGCGCTGTCTGGGCACCTCGACTTGCTGGTGAGGGGCAGGGGGTGCTGTCTGGGCACCTCGACTTGCTGATGAGGGGCAGGGGGCGCTGTCTGGGCACCTTGACTTGCTGATGAGGGGTGTTCAGTCCTTGGTTCCCATCACTATTCATCTATAATGTCTCTCTTGCCTCCAGAAGTCGCGAATGCCCTTAACCCCCCCCCCCCACCCCCGTGTGCTGTGGCTTTGGAAGGCAGACGCTGATGTTCTGCCTCTAAAGTCGCTCTCCAGTCACTTGTCGGTGAGCCTCCATTTATAAGCAGAGTAAGATGCTGGAACAGAAGTGCCATTGCCCTCTGATTTTTCTCACCCCCTCTGCCTATCATGCGGCGCATGCTGCTTCCTTAATGCCACTTGCTGTGAGGCCGCAGAGACAGCCGACGGCCATGCCCCTCTTGTGGCAGTGCCCGCCTCTGCTGGCTGTCATTTTCAGTGTTTAATAACCTTCTCATGTGTGCTGACACAACTAGGGTAGCTAATGGACCTTTGTTTTGCATACTAAAGTCCACAAAGTTAACATTGCAGTAATGTATCAGGAACATTAATCTATGAGATATTGGTTCTAATTGTACTGGGAGAAGTGATTTCCTCTGTCAGGGATGCGATCTGAGACTGACTTTGGCAGTAACAGCCTCTGCTTGCATGGCAGCCTCCTCCACCAGTGTGTGGATGTGTGTGTGGATGTGTGTGTGGATGTGTGTGTGGATGTGTGTGTGGATGTGTGTGTGGATGTGTGTGTGGATGTGTGTGTGGATGGGTGAATGTGAGGCATGTATTGTAAAGTGCTCGTAGGAGTAGAAAAGCGCTATTTAATATGCAGTCCAAACACATGATCTTTGCAGGTTGTGGCTGCGGTCTACTTTTGTCAGTTTCTTCTTAAGACAACTAATGGGAAGTGAAATGACTGAACCAAGAATATCCCCATCATGCGAATTTATCCTTATAAAGAGAGCAGATGGAGGGAGAAGGATCAGATACAGTACATCAGAGCCGGGGCTGGAGTAAACAGGAATGACCCCGGAGCACAGACACACCCCCTGGCAGGTGTGCACCGTGGTGTCTGCTTTCGGCTAACCTGCGTGCCAGCAATCACTCGAGTGCTGATGTCATGATTTGCAATTTGAAAGAGAAAAGCCTCCTGTTAACAAAGGAATCACCGTCATTCGGCCCTCGTTCCGGTGCAGCCACTGCGGTGTTGTGTGTCCTTTGTGTTTTCCTGTCAGTAAATTAGTAAATCGGTTTTGATGCATGTCAGATATCTTGATGGGTTCCGAGTTGGTCTGGACTGATGCATTGTGGGATTGTTTGCCTGGAGCTTTCACCCGCGCATGGCGGGGACATCGAGGTCTCTGGGAGAGCATGTGCCACTTCCTGGTGCCCTGGAGCTCACGTGGAGCTGCGCTGCTGGCTGCCTGCGTATTTGTGAGATTGCAATCTGCACACGCCAGCCGTATCTCCAACATCGACAGCTCTGCTTCCTCTTCAGTTCTGAAGAATTAGGCCCTTGTTTGTAGGCCTCCGCCTAGTGCTGCAGGTGCCTGGAACCTTCCACCGATCTGCCCCCCCCCCCACCACTGCCACTCAGTTTTTGTGCTACTCAGTGGGTGTGCGCGCAGTGACTTCCGCGTACTGTGACATCATGCGCATACCCATTGCAGTACCAGGAGTGTAAGAACATCAGATAAGAGGGTGACGACCTAAGAGTATTTTATACTTCTAAGTAGGGCTGCTGCGATTATTTGAAATTGTCGACATCAATATTTTAAATCGACATGTTTTTTAATTTTATTTTAATGAAATTACTGTTGATTTTGAAAACGTTTCATTAGTATAGTAAATGTTTTCCTTTTAATATCACTGTGTAATTATGAGGGTAGTTCAGTTGTACACTGTGAAAAGTTTCGATGGCATACCGTGGTGGCATTAGCGCTAAGCATGAGGACCTGAACCGAAAGCACACTGGCAGTATTCTGGATGATGGGCCGCCAGAGTAGGCAAAACCGCCTTAAGTGTTGTCTATTCATGTTTATTAAATTAGTATGTGGAGAACTTTTAAATACCTTTTGTCTTGTAGCTGCCAGATACAAATAATAAAAGCCATAAAGTTGTCTGGCTGCCATCTTAGAATCCCCATTGAGTAAGTGTTTGTGAAAATGCTTAGGCTAAAATTTGAGCTTATTCTATGTTGATTGACGGTGCTGATGTGTATGTTTATGCAGGTTGGGCTTGTTGGAACCAATGTGATCTTAAACTAAAACTGAAAGGAAAACGGACATAAAAAAAATATGAACTGAAATAAAATAAAAACGATTTACCAAACAGAAACGTGTTGGACTTTATTCTGCGAGAAGTATCTCCACACCACCGACGTCTTGTAACCACGGTATCTCCTCCTGGCTACTGAGCTGTCTGTTTCTTCATCGGCACTTCAGTGCTTATCACTTCCATGATTTACTAAAACATCTGGCGTGAAATTATGCTGATTACTAAGTTTTCGGTATCAAAATACGCATCTCATTCATATTTTTGGAATACTACTAATTTGATTATCAAAGTGTGTGAAAATAATGTCCATATAGTTCTGAAAAGCCAGTGTCCATTATCTAAAGTCCTGCAATGACATTCAGTTTGTTGTCAAAATAAAATGAACTCAAATTAAATGGTTGTCGATTCTCTGGAGGAAAAATAATCATTTAGATTAATCGACCAGTCTGCAAAATAGTCGATTAGATTTATCAGTAGAAAAAGTCGTTAGTGGCAGCCCTACTTACAGCAACTAGTAGCACAGCGATTTGCAATCTGTGTAAAAACAAAGTTTCGAGATGTGAAAGTAGCGTTTAGTGGAAAAGCCCACTAAACAAAGCACACACGATTGTGCCAGACAACGAGAGTAATATGGAAAAGCAATGGATGGTTTGTGAGTGGCTAACTTTGGCTGTTTGCGCCTCGCTACAGCCTGTGATACACGAGGGGCTGCTGTCGCAGTGAAGTGTAAATGACGCTGATGCCAGTGGGAGAAACTGTGCGGCCTTTTAAGCATTTATACCTCAAACACTTTAAACGACGTACAAATGAGTTGGAACAGTCCAGTATATATTTGTAGTAGCCAAATGAAAGATTTTGGCATACGTTTTCTCATCTTTATTTACTAGTTTAAAAATATTAATAATATTTAAAGTAAGTCCATGTGGCAGAGTAATGCCTTTCGCTATTATTATTATTATTATTATTATTATTATTATTATTATTATTATCGCTGTAATGTTTTCGATGTTAAAGACAATTCTTTCTTCGAAACGTTGGACCAGTGTCCTTCCAGGTTCATCCCCCCCCCCCTTTATATATAAGTATTAAGTGTCACATTGTCTCTCCTGATCACCCCCGTGTTTTCAGTCCTGTGCTTGGGGTCAGAAAGTGTCCATTCTGTTAGTCTCTCCTGATGCAGAGGGCAATGTTGAGAATCACTTTGCATCGTTTTGACCCCTGGCGAGTCGTCAGAAGTGAAAGCCCCCCCCCGTGTTTCTGTGGGGAACTGAGACCTGAAACGCGTGACCTTTGCTTCGCCGCGAGGAGAATGCAGGAGGCAGAAATGGCGAGAGCTGAAAGCCGTCATCGGTGGAAAGTAGGCCTTTCCCTAGCAACCGGCCATGCATAAAGGGTGCTGTTTATGCTTTACTGGTCGCCATGGAAACTGGCAACGGCGGACCTTTTTTTTTTTCATATCGCATCTTCATCTGTTGGTTAATAAGATGCCTGAAACGTTCCGCAGAGATCTTCAGCCTTTGTGTGTTCCTCAGGGCCACAGACGGGCACTTTGGAGGGGTGACTTCCCCATTTTGGTGGGAGCGCCGGCCTGGCCCTACAGGAAGGTCAGACGAATGGACGTAACAATGACAAGTCTGGCTCCTGGCTGTCCATTCACTAGTTCGCTGGTGTCCTCTCTTTCCGATTCCCTCCACCTGAATCATCTCAGGAGATGTAGTCATATTTCCTGCATCTTTGGGGGATTGATAATCACAAGGCTGATTCCAATGATGGACCTCAAGAATGATGCCCTTGTGTTCTGCTTGAACTACTGGTTCTGGATTTGCTGGTGCTAGTGCTGGACAAACAAGTCTTTATAGCCCAGTGTGTATGGCAGATGCTAATTGGTCCAGCCTGTGCAGTGCTGGTTCATTTATGGTTCCTTAATGGGTTAAAATGGTGATTGACAGAGACTAGTAAATCCTGCCCACCTCCTTTCTGTCCAGTCGTCTCCTGTGATTTGAAACTCCACAACCCCCCAGGCATCCGTGAAACTTCCTTGCTTTGGTTTCTGCTGGGATGCTGGCTGTTGCTTCTCTTCAGTGTCCCCTGCCCCTGTAACCCAATCCCTCTCTGTTCGCAGCCCCGCAGCCCCGCCACCCCAGCCCTCGCCGGCGTATCGCTTGTGGTTGAGGATGATGGCAGCATTTCTACTGTGACTGGCTCGGCTATGTAACACTGGAGAGAAGGCCGAAATGGGTATGTACTGATGATGGTGAAGCATGGTTTGCACTAATCCATCCACCTTCCAGAAGCACAGATCCGATACTGGGTCCGGCAGAGACTGCAGCCTATCCCAGGATGCACTGGGCGTGAGGCAGGGGACACTCTGGATGGGATGTCAGTGCGTTAGAGTCCAGGTTGCCAGCCTTCGTCTGCGGCCTAGAGTGGGATTTTCAGTTCGAGACAAGTCTGCACAAACAGGGACAAGTTTTTACAAATATGTAACTGTAGTCTGTAGGTAAAGTCTGTAGGGTTTCCAAACTGCCCCAACGCTTGTAATTTTAGGATTATAATGGAATAATATAGATTTTTTTCGCGTGAGTGAAAGCACCTGAAAGCATGAGTGTCACGCCAGATGCATACAAGTTGAGAGCCTTGCACAGGGCATGCGTGCACTCACACGTTTTTCTAGAACATGTGAAATCAACACTGAGCTGGGTCCAGGAATCGAACCAGGCCCAGGTTCTCCCCTGAGGTCAGTCCCTGCATGTGGTGGAGCCGATATTCCTATATCTGAACAGTGAGGAGCTATACGATGAGGTTAAAGGTCGTTCTGAAGCGGGGGTGCTCTGTCCAGGCTCTCTTAGTGTAGTATTTGCTAGTGAATGGCCTGCCTGGCACTGGGGCTCTTCCCTGTCCTGCGGGGCTCTTCCCTGTCCTGCGGGGCTCTTCCCTGTCCTGCGGGGCTATTCCCTGTCCTGCGGGGCTCTTCCCTGTCAGGACACATGCTCCCTTCTTGCAGGGCCCTTCCTTATCGGGTTCTTTTCTTGTGGGGGTCCTTTTTTCCCGTCGGGGCCCTTCGTCATTCGGGCCCTTCCCCATGTTGCGGAGCCCGTCCTAAAGCACTCTTATCTCGCCAGCTTTTCTCTGCTGCCGTTTCTCCGTATCTCAGCAGCTTGCACGTCTTCGCCCTTGATCTTATCTCTTATCTCGGGTCCATGGTCCTGCTGCGCTTGGCTTCCTTGTCCTTTCCCCAGTTTTCTGACGTGTCTTATTCGGCTGCTGTCGACTTGTCCAAGGTGGGATGCTGGGTTTCGATGGCGCTCGAGGGTCGCTGGAGTAGCATCCACAGTGTCTAGTCCTTACTACCCTCCTTTTGTCTTTAATTTTTTTAACCACCCCACAGGTTTGCCCCCATCTTTAAGGGATACTGAAGCCAACTGAGCTGAAAAAAAATCAAATAGTTTGTTAAATGAACGAGCCCCCCCCCCCATTTCCTCATGCTGAAATCCTTGGCTTTAGAAGTAGAAGCCTGCTCTTCCAGAGGCCTTTGCGGGTCTTTGATGTCTGTCTTTAATGTGCCCCTCCCAACCCCTTCCCAGCTGTGTGTTTAACCCACCCCCCCGCCTTTCATCTCGCTCGGTGCTGAAGCCAGATCAGAAGCGTGAGTCATGGCATGTGATTCACCACCTTGGACAAGCCTTGTGTAGATCACTTGTGCCCCCCCCCCCCCCCCCCCCCCCACCGCCTGAGGGAAAACCGGTGTGCCATTATGGCCCCTCCCAGCATGGTGCGGTGGTAGGCAAGACTCGGCAGTTCTTTCCGGTTCCTTGCTGGTGCTTCACTTATCAAGATCATCCCTCAACCTGTTTAGTTATGAGAGGGGTTACCTGAAACCAACGCTGCTCAGTTTCAAAAACCGTCACAGTCAGCGGTCATTTAGCTGGGTACGTTCTGCGTCCTGAATGACAACTAACCACTGTTCTGAAGTTGGGGGATATGGCAAGAGAAAGTAAAGAGTTTAACGTGGGAAGTTTAGGCGGATGCTTTTTTTTTCTTGTTTGCTGAAAAACGATAAGGTGCTGACACTCCACCGATCACTTGGCCTCTTGTCGCCTTGCTGACAGGGTCAGAGGTCATCCTTTTATGGATTGTGGTGTGGTCTTCTGGCTGGTACCAGGTTGTACCAGAGATAGAGCCCAAGGTCTGATGTAACTGAGGGGGTGGGAGAGTCGGGGCTGGTCGTTTGTGGAGTGACGGGACACCCCTGGAAAAGCCTGAAGGTCCAGTCAGTCGTCAGTTTGCAGAGTGATGTTGGGGCTGTCGGTTACTAGACTGGAGCGTGTCGCATTTGACCGTGTGAATGTGGGTTTAATGTGGATCCACTAGGCAGGAGACCCTCTGGCTTGTGGTGAGAATTGTGTAGACCGCTGTGATACAATCCATTAATTGATTACCTTGTGGGAACCTCAATTTCATAAAAATCTCAGAATACAATCAAAAACGAAAAGTCTTTTATTGGTGGTTAAGGTTAATGCTGGGTAGGGTTAGCATTGTCAAAGTTTACATTAGGATTATGCCCATAGCAATGAATGGAGAGTCCACACAATGATAGGAATGTTTAATATATGTATTTGTGAGACTCACATAGGAAATTCTGAGAATAAAGTTGGTTTCCTGACTGTCATGAATGTCAAAAAAATATCAGGATACGTCAAAATTAAAAATAGGATCCCTTCCATTTCATTTCTATGTTGAGATGACATTTCTCTAATTGGGGTGTTGGTACCAACTGGCCAGTCCATTTGTATCTTTTTCTGTTGCGTGTGTGTGTGTTTGAGGCATGCGGGTGTGTGAGGCATGCGGGGATGTGTGTGTGTGTGTGTGTGTGTGTGTGTGTGTGTGTGTGTGAGACATGCCCGCGTCTCTCCATCAGGCCGCCGCACCCCATCCCTCCAGTACAGCCTGATCACCTCGGTAACATTCTGTGCTGCTTCACAGTTCGTTTCTCACCCCCCCCCCCCACCCCGTCCCCGTTCTCTCTGTGAGTGAGAAAATGCTAAATTAAACGCATCCTTGACCACAAGACTATCTGTTTTAAAATTTCCTTAAAAAGAGGTTTTAACTTTTTTTTTTTTTTTAAAGAGAAAATTCAGAATTCTTTTTGTGTCCTGGCAGAGGGAAATTGTGACCCACCATCCAAGCCATGATTTTAATTTACACTCACAAACCGATCACACACACGCAGCCTCTTAAAGCATCGACTGGTGTCTGGCTGTCATTCATCTCTCCTGGTGTTTTTCCAAGTGCATTTCCACGGCTTCGGTTCCTGGTCCACGGGCTTCCCCTGCCTCTGTGTGTGTGTGTGTGTGTGTGTGTGTGTGTGTGTGNTGTGTGTGTGTGTGTGTGTGTGTGTGTGTGTGTGTGCATGTAAACATTTGTTGGAAACCTGGGGAACTTCAGCGCAGTTGGAGGCAGACCAGCTTCCTGCACTCATGAGGTTAAAGCTAATAGTCCTCCTCACCTGAAGCAGAAACACTGAAACTTCCTTACCCTCCTCTGTCCCCCTCCCCCCCATGTCCCACTGCTGCTCTTAATTCCTTTGGGGGGGTGAGTTCTTTTTTTCTGTCACTTCTATAATGAAACTGTCTCACTGATTTAGCTGTCAGCTGCGAGCTGAATGAATTTTTTGGCCACCCAGTGTGCAGTCCTCCACAACAGCAGGTGGCGTACTGTTGAAGGACATGGTCCTATGAGAGCCTCTGCTGTTCTACCCTTGGGAAAGGGTGCTTGGATGTGAATGTATTAGGGACCTTAGTGTGGTTGGATTAAATTTGGGAAGTGTTGCTCAGCCTGTCGGCCTGTAGAGGGCGTGCTGCTCTTCTGTGATGACACCCCCCCCCCCCACAGGAGAGAGGCAGTTTTGCCTCCCCGCCATGCTCTTTTTAAACAGCATGTGGCCAGACATGAATGCTGGAACCCCTGTCACTGTACCAAGTGCCACGATGTTTCCAGAGATAATTACTGAATTTAATTACTTACTTCAGCCCTTTTTTTGACTGGTTCCTCATCCTGGATGACATAAGCAAACGATGGGGACGATCTCACAGTCATCAGCACTGTCACCACAGACCACCATAACTGGCTGTTATGTTTTACCTGCATTCTTGAGGGGAGTCTTCACCGCCACCGCAGAAAGTGTGCAGACGGGTGTACCCTGGTGGTCCTGTCACCTTTGGGTCCATCCTCTCCATGCAGGGCCAAAGCTACTTTATCTTCAGGAAGAGGGTCATAAACGGAGTTTGTTGTAGCTTTGAAATGGATGGTCTTGACAAAGAAAAAGGTCTCGTTTGTCATATCAAGGGGAGATGATTAGCATGTTCAGTGTTATGTTGCTAGCCTGTGTCTCCCTCTTCTGGTTATGCTAAGTATTGCAGGGTCCTTCCATGGTTGGCTGGAATGTTTGTGTGATGGTTTGCAAATAGCAGAAGAAAATAGCGGATAACTTGTATGTTAAAGATTTTAAACCCTAAGCTTAAACACGTCTGTCTGAGGTGTCCTATGACAAAAATAGCAGTCAGTACTCATAATTGGGCCAGGTATTGTGACAGTGTTTCTCCAAGATGGGCAGTGTTGACCTGTGTGCAGAATGTGGTTGTGTGTGTGCTGCAGTGACCTTTTAAACATTAACGCTTCAGTACCCCATTTCTGTTTTGCAGTTACCACATGGACAACCCAGATGAAATTGCTTGTGAAAATATTTTCGTAGAACTAATATAGATTTAACTAATACCTCATATTAGCGTGTTAGTTTTAATCAATGTCGCTATACTAAACTCACTAGCATCTTAATGTTAACACTTTCTTTTAATGTCACTGAAAAAAATCACAAATATCACCATGGGAACTGACATGGATCAGCCATAACATTGAAACCACTGACAAGTGAAGTGAATAACATTGATTATCTTGTTACAGTGTCACCTGTCAAGGGTGCTGATATATGTTAGGCAAGTGAACAGTCAGTTCTTGAAGTTGATGTGTTGGAAGCAGGAGAAACGGGCAAGAGGAAGGATCTGAGCGACTTTGACAAGGGCCAGCCCGTCTGGTCCGATCCCACAGGAGAGCTACTGTAGCACAAATCGCTGAAAACGTTAATGCCGGCCATGATAGGAAGGTGTCAGAGCACAGAGCGCATCGCTGCTTGCTGTGTTTGGGGCTGCGAGGCCGCAGATCGGTCAGAGGGCCCATGCTGACCCCAGTCTAACGCTGCCCCTACAATGGGCATGTGAGAGTCAGAACTGGACCAGGGAGCGATGGAAGAAGATGGCCTGGTATTGTGTCGTCTCTTATTTAAATTATTATAATATTATAATATTAAAAGAGGAGAACAAGCCAGTGTAAATTAGAAAAAGACCAAATACTGAACTATATAGGGAAAAACGCAAAAAGGAAGGACAGCCTAGGGGAGTGGATGCCGGCGGTGAAAGTCGCCGATCTTGGGGGCGCAGATTAGCAGAATGACGTTAAATTGTGTGTTTTATTAATTCTGTGGAAAACTTTTACTTGGCTAACTAGCTAAACCACTTCATTGCCTTGACCATGGCTACTGTAGCTAGCAAAAAGAACAACTTTTTTTGCACTACAAAAGAGTGGAGTTTACCAAAAGCATTGTAGCGCAATAACCATCACCATACCCACAAAGATCAAGCAGCACTTCGTACATGAATATTAATGAACCTTCCGCTGTCACCCTGCATTCTGAAAATTTGCATGTGCGTCTACTCGCAACACGTGAATGTGAAGTGTGCAACCTGAAATTAGGGGTAGGCCTATCTGTCATGCCTCCAAAAATAGATTCTAATGTTACGGATTGATTGCAGTTGAATCGCCACCTTTGATTCGTCATGATGCATAAATTCAGCACTTAAACAGTGCCTGCACTAAATATATGGCTAACAGGGGGCGCCCAAACCTCCGGGACCCCCATGTTAATGTGCGTTTTTAGTGGTTGCAAACACTGCTACTGGATGCCCATCTTGACTTGCAGCACCAGTTCTGTTAACAAACTGTGGTAAAATAAACAATCCTACTGGGGTTGTGTTTTAAATGTTAACTGTAGTACGTGTGATTAAGTCCTTTCGCCTTGTGTCTTTGTTGCTGTGATTTTGTGTTTTTTAGCATGTAGTTCCTCATTTGACCTGTAGGTGGTGGTCTTGCACTGCAGTACACTGAGGCTCGGAAATGATTCACTGAGTCACCGTTCCCTATATAGGAAAATCTAAAGATTCAGCTATTTAGGGGAATTAGTCGGTGAAACCAGACCGTGCTTTCAGGCATTCCAAGACCTTCAAGACTGATATGCAGATAGCAAAATACAGCCACCAAATAAACAGAATGAAGGTGATAAAGTGATTGTGGATGTTGGTTGAGCTTCAGTCCCTGCAGAGATCTGAATTATCATATGTATTTTTGAAATGACCTAAATTGTGCTTACATTTATATACAAATTTTCCCTCTTGCTCCTTCTTGGGGTGGTGTGGTGGCGCAGAGGTTAGTGCCGCTGTCTCACAGCAAGAAGGTCCTGGGTTTGGTCCTTGGGTCGGGTGTAGGTCCTTTCTGTGTGGAGTTTGCACATATACATACACGGACACACACAAAGATTTTTTCTTTGTTGACATTTGTGATGCTGTGACAATTTTATGTTCCATGGTAAAAAGTGGTGATACTGTATGGTGACCTGCTGGTCGGTGGCTCCTTTCGACCGTGAGTGTGGCTTTTGTTCGCTGCCAGTCACGTTCAGTCGGAGTCGAGACGTTTTTTTGGATGACGTCACCCCACTCTGTCTGAATGGATTTTCCATAAAACAAATCTGTTTTTTATATGTGATAGTTTTTTAAATAAGTCATCGTTCTCTGGCCCAAAAGGATTATTTTTTTATCATTTAAACATTCCTAATAAGGCCCTGTGCTGAGGGGTTGCCCCCCCACCCCCATACAGGAAAAGTGATGGATGGATGGATGATTCTAACAATAACTTATCTCTCTCTGGCTGTCTGCCTGTCTGTCTCTCTGTCTGTCTGTGTCTCCGTATGTCTATGTCTGTCTGGGTCTCTGTATGTCTGTCTCTGTCTCCGTGTCTCTGTCTGTGTGCATGCGTCCCTCCCGCAGGCATGGATGAGAGGTCATGCATGTGCTGCAGCTGAGGCCACTGGCCAGCCTGCCCCCCCCTGCCTGGCCGGGAGCATGTACAAGAGAAATGGGCTCACGGCTGGTGTCACCGTCACTTCCCCCACTCCGGAGGTGAGTCTCGCTGCTGACACCCTGCCATGTCACTTCGTCAGCTGGGCGGTTTGTTATAGCTGTAGCAGTACATGTGTTGGTCATGTACCATTTGGTACACGCAATGAAACAAATTAATCATTTACTGACACGGGCAGAACCTAAATTCTCAAGTGTGCTCGACACGGAAAATATTACGCTAATTGAGGCTGCGAGTTGGTTATGAATAATGCTGGTAACAGTCAGTCATAGTTGGGGGTTTGGCGACATTTTGGTTTCCCCATAAAATACCCCAGCGCCAGAGAGAGAGTAGCTGATAAGCACAAGGCTGTCTGCCGGCTCTGCTGTACCGAAGCCAGATATGTCACTGGAAACGCATGCAACATGCTCGCTGATTAGAGAAGACATCATCCGAAAGTGTGTATGACCAGAGCAAAGCAGAAACAGCCTCAGCAAGATGGTCTCCCCATGGTATTTAAGGTGCTTTTCTCAGGAAATTCAGACTGGGTTAAAAAATAACTATGGCTATTGGGGTGTTTATCGCTACAGATGTGCGAACGTACTTTGTAGTACATGGGATTTAGTTCATTATGTCTCTTGTTTTGTCACTCAGACATGTCGACTGACATCGCTTTTGGTTTACAGCTGTCCTTAATTGTCTGAGTTTGTAGTTTATTGATAAATAATTTCAAAACATTCCGCTTTCCCCGATGCTCTGAAATTTCACTGAACCTCGAATAAAAAAAAAAAAAAAAAAAACTAGGTTTGTACCGAACCATGAGTTACACCCCTACTGTTTGTGTGTATAACAGAACAAGGTATGTAAATTCCTAAGGAAGTGAGGAAATGGATTCTTAAAGGATCACATTTGATTTGGGTTACTTCATGGTCGTCGGTTATTGATTTAGTTCAGTATGATGTTAGTCATGAGGGTGGGAGTTCTGGTCTATTCCAGCACTGTTTGGGCACGATGGTCTCTGTGGTGTGTGTCTTGAGCAGGCAAAGTGAAAAAATTTGTCAAATAAAAAGGATTTAAATCAAGGCAGACCCACACACACACATTTTTGCTGGGAAAATTGGGTCATGTGTCCACTAAACATTTAGAAACACACACACACACACACACAAATATGCATGCACCCACTTGCGCACACACATGCATGCACGCACACTTGCACACACGTATGCACGCATATGCACACACATACACTTGCACACACGTATGCATGCATACACACAAAAGAGCATGTGACGGAGGACAATGATGGACTCACCAAGTCTGGAGCGGTACAGCGATGGTGGGGTGACGATTATAGCGCCTTTCATATGTGAAATGCACCTCAAAGTGCTTTACATATACTGTAGGATAATAATCAAGAGAGAAGTAAAAAGTAGCAACTATGCAGAATAAACCATTAGAGAGATGGTTCACAGATACTGCTAAAAGGTCACGTCAAATGTCATATAAAGGACAAAGCAATAAAGTACTATAAAAGAGATAAGCACTATATGTAAATTTATATTTAAATGAAATAACAACATTAAAGAACATTAAAATTTAAAAATGTGGCACAGCTAAAAGAAATGAAAAAGAATAAAGTACATTTAACAATCTTGGGTAAAAAATTGTCTTTGATAGCTTTTTAAAACAAGGAAGTGATTCAGCGGCTCTAATTGCTACCGGAAGTGTATCCCAGAGTCTGGGGGCATGAGGACTAAATGCTGCCTCCCCACTTTACTTCTCTCTCACTCTGGCCATGTGGAGAATCTGCGAACTGGAACATCTTAGAGTCCTAAGGGGAGCGAAATTGGTTAAAAGCTCAGTAATTTAAGACGGTGCCTTGGAAGTGAGTAAAAGAATTTAAAGTCTGTTCTGACAGATACAGGCAGCCGGTGAAGCTGACACACAAGTGGTGTAACAGGATCCCATTTCTTTGCTTTCATAAGTCTTCAGGCTGCTACGATCTGAATAACCAGTAATTAGTTAATAGTGTTACTGAGCAGGCCGGCAGAAATGGAGGTGCAGTAGTCAAGGGGACTGGTAATAAAAACCTGCATGAACTTTCAGCATCTCAGTGATAGAAAAGGTCTGGCAGAAGGCTGTCTTAGTAGCATGTTGGAAATGGCTCTTAAAATTCAAGTCACAGTCAATGGGGGGGGAGAGGCAGGCAGCCCCCCAGGGTCGGGCGAGCCCCCTAGGGTCGGGCTTCTCTTCAAACCTCCATCCACCGGAGCAGCAGCTAAATGCTTTTACAGCTGGTGGCAGAGAAATAACAGTTTTTATTTAATACACCATCGTAATTTTGATGACATGATCAAATTTCTTCTAGGAAACTGACTAAATAAATTGGACTTTGATGTCATCAGGGGATTCTGAACTCTTATCTAGATTGAGACAAAAAAATGTCTGCTTATGACCTGGTAGGTAGTTGCTATTAGGAAATATTCTCACTGGTTTTATATGGGATATTTTTGTGTTATTTCGTTTTCAAAGCCCTCCTTTAAGCCAGGGGTGCCCAACTCCAGTCCTGGGGGGCCGGAGCCCTGCACATTTTTGGGTTTCCCCTCATTTAACACACCTGGTTCAACTCCTTGTGCTAATTACCACACAGCTCTTGAGCTGAATCATTTATGGTAGAACAGGGAAAGAACTAAGCTACACAGGGCTCCGGCCGTCCAGGACTGGAGTTGGGCACCCCTGCTTTAAGCAGTGGATCAAGCAATCATTTTTCATTAAAACAATATGAAATGTATGTCCGCTATCAGACCCCGCAGCACTGTCTCTGTTGGTGGTAGCTATGTATTTTAGCTATGTGTCAGGTGACATCTGCCTGCAATTCTGATTGCTCCATTTGCCTGCCTGTGCCCACCTCCTTCCAGGGCAGCAGCAGCTCGGAGTCCCTGGACGGGCGGGGCGTGGACTCTGCCAAGAGTTATGATGCTGTCGTGTTTGACGTGCTGAAGGTGACACCTGAGGAGTTTGCCGTGAGTAGGGACCCGCCCACAGTGCCATCCTACATCCCATAGTCTGGAATTCCGCCAGGTGCTGCTCAGTGCGTGATTAATTGTTCAAATTCAGTGTGACTGACTTATTTATACTTTTAATCGTTACAGGGAACCCATGGATCCTTAAAAAGTATTTTAAAATGATCTAATTGATTTTGAAATGTCTTGCATCTATCTTTTAAGGGTCGTATAATTTGCATAAACATGGAAAATAACGTGGATTTATGCGTTTATGAATGGTTAGCTAACACTAAGCTAACCTGTAACTAAAGGCACCAGCATCGGAAATCACTTTACTGGCCAGTTAGATCTGCATTTACTGGGAATTGTTTCTGGCGTTACTGGTGCTTACAGGCACAGATAACATAGAAGAACAAAAGAAAAATAGATAAGTAGAAATAAAATAATAGAATAAAGGAATAAAAATGTTGTGCAATATAATTATAAGGACATTAAGGGGAACTGAAGTATTTGAATGCTGTAACATAAAGGTAAGAGAATATGGTGCTCAGTAGATGGAAAAGATGTACAATGATGGGTGGAGAGTGAGTGGGGGGGTGGCAGAGGCTGAGACTGTGTCTCTGCAGGGGTCAGGGGGCTTGCTGATGAGTTCAGCTGCTGAAAGGAAGAAGCTGTTTTTGTGGCGTGTGATTCTGGTTCTTGATCTGTCACTTTTCAGAAGAGGAAAGTGCAAACTCACCGAAAACTGGTTGGATGACCCTAGTTTTGCAGCATGGTTGAAAGCTGTTAATGATGATGAATTTGAGTTTTATTGTGTAAGAAGTTCTTCAAATTGAGCACACTGGTGTAGGAAAGCTGTACAATCTCTCCCTGCAAATGGGAAAAGCATAGCGGCCAACAACCACAAGGGCACCGGCCCCGAGCTGAAAGCCGATTGGCCCCCGCGTGCCCCCACCTTCATCACTCACTGATTCAATGCACGTCATTGGCTAATGATAAGGTTGCCCCTGAATTATGGTGCCTATTATGCCCCCTCCCTCCCACTGTAAAACAAATCCTAGAATCCCCCCTGCTAACAATCTAACTGCTGTCGTAGCATGCTTTTTGCTAATTTTGTTATTGTGAAACTGGCTTTAAATGTAATTTTAAATGGCATTAAGAAATCTTAGTCTTGCATCTGACTGACCTAAGTCTGCAGATGCCCTGCAGATGCCCTGGTGTGTGTCCCTACTTGCTCTCTGCCTTTTTAGGAGATTATAAGACGGTCCAGAGGAATAAAACTTTAATGTCAGTGGATTTTTTCAGACTCCCGGCACGCTAGAGTCGTAGTGGGTCACCTATCGTGTGTCAAACGTGGGTCTCACTGGGTTCTGGGCCATCACGAGAGGGACGTCCCTCCGATTTGTTCCAGCGCTCAGGAAATTGGCTTGGCCTGGGTCCTTACCGTGAGGGGAGGGCGGAGGAATAGCTTTTGGCCCTGGCGGAATGTGGCTTTCTGGGGGGGGCGGCGGAGTGAGACTTATTGGGATAGCCCTCTGTGTCTGTGACTGGTAGGTTGTTGGTTCAAATCCCTTACTTGGCTCAGTACTTACATCTTCATTGGGCCCTCGAGTAAGTTCTTGTATCTCTGTGAAAGGAAGATGAGATATGAGGGAAAATAACATTTCATTATAATTAAGTCTGCCTCTCTCTCTTGCTTTGTCAGAGTCAGATTACGCTGATGGATGCCCCCGTGTTCAAAGCCATCCAGCCAGAGGTAAGAACATCTAACTCTGCCGTTTAGCCATGCTTAGCTTGATGCTAATATAACATGAGAACTCTGGCTCCCCCTGGTGGCTCAGTGTTTAGTATAGGCCCCCGGGGGCTGCGATGCAGGGGGGGCTGCATTGAACGTCATTGCCGTAGCGAGAGTGACCCCCGTCTGGGGACAGTCACTCCCTCCTCTGCACCTCTGCCCCCCTCCCTAGGCAGTCACTATTTCCTGGATGAAAAGAGCGCTCTTTATTCTTCCAAAAAAGTTTAAATCGTTGAAATTCTCAACGGAACCTGAGTGGGAGAACTTGCCCTGGCGATGGTCAGTGTAGAGACAGGAAGGGGGCCGGTGTGTTTACGCGACGGGAGGGCAGCCAGCCCTCAGAATCAGTGTCAGACCATCATGGAAGCCATTTCTGATGTGTGCATCGTCTTATTGAACCTGGTCACCTTAACATGTCTGGTAGCCGTCATTAAATGGTGCCTGAATTGTTTAGGGTGTTTTAAATGCTAACAGGGCCTGATTGCAAAGCAGAATTATTCCGGCATCACAGAGAAATATGTTTAGAGCTAAAAGCTAAACTGTTGCGGGGGGGGGCTCGGGGGGATGGTTCAGGCTTATTTCATTCCTCTGCTCTCCGCATACAGGACCGGAGAACCATTTCGGCCCAGAATGTTGTACGTTTGCTATAATTAGTCGCATTTTCATTTGATAGTGATGTAAGGGGTGACCTTTAAATAACGCAGGTCTTTCCCTTCAGTAACATCCTGCCGGAAAGCCACAGGACACGGCCCAGGCTGCCTCGCTTTGGGGGTGTAGGCGGCAAACGGGCTCATTTCACAATCTGTTTGCCCCCCCCCCTGAGTGCTTGTGCTCACTTTGTGTTCCTGTAGGCTGGAGCGCTTCTCCTGTAAAGTTCTCCGCAGCTCCCTGCCTGTGCTTTAGAAAGCGGCAGTATGTCCACTGAGCCCCTTGAGCGCAGTGTCACCTACGCCACCCGAGCCAGGATGCTACCCTCACGGGCCTGCAGTGGGGAGCCGGGCGGGTTCTAAAGCGGGCGCCCGGCGTATGGGTTTGTTGTCAGGGTTTCAGAGGGGGGGTAATGGTGGATGTGGGGGGTATGGGTGGTGGTGCACGAGCCCGTTCCAAATCAAACATCTCAGTTTCTGTTTTCCTTCCTTCTCCATATGTGGCCACGCAGATGTTGCGGCCGGTGCCATGAATAAGATCGGGACCTGGTCCGCCTCCACGGGCCAGGAGACCTCGCTAAATTCCTCCAGGGTCTTGGCCTGGGTCTCACATGCGTAGGGATGGGAGTTCCTGCAGCTGAGGTCGGATCCCCTTGTGACTGGTGGTCTCCCTGCATCGTGGCGTCTTAATATCCGATTGTTCTTCTGTTGCTGTGGCAGACGTGCTTACAAACAATGCAGCCGCGGTGGAAAATACTCCACATGAAGGGCGAATAGCATGAAAGCCATCAGCTGAATTAGTCTGGTTTGAGTCTCATCATCTGAGCTCAGTTAATTCCTTCACCTCAGGGATTACAAACATCAGCTTCACCCAACCTTACAGCCGTCTTGTATTTTTACCTCCCAGCAGAACTCTGTAAACGGGTCTCATTCGCTCTGGGAACAGCCTGGCTGACCCACGTGGCTGAGTAACAGGGCGTAATGTCTCAGTTGGCCGGTCACGAAGGGCGCCCTCTAGAGGTTGGTGTAATAAATGAGGCTGTGTGCTGCCTGCCTTGTTATGCTGATGTTTGACCTGTGAATGTCAGTCTGGCTCCGCTAACCACAGCTGAGGGAGTAGCCATCTGCCTCTGGCATCACGGCCTGGCGTGTAAAAGGCTCAGGCATGGCCCCCTCAAAACATACATATATTTTGTTTTTTTTGCAGAATGTTCCCCCATTGCGATCAGGCCTGTTGCCCACTCCTTACGAAAGGCCCATTAAATTCCCTTGCCTCTTCCCTACCTCACTTGACGCACCAAAGCTGGTCTGTTACCGGCTCTGCTGGGTGAAGCTTACCCCCCACCCCCCCCCAGGGGGTCTCCACATTGTTGCCCAAACTCTTAATGTTGGCAGTGTTTGTGGTCACGGCCGTTACTAAAGCAACGACGTAAATAATCTGCAGTGGTGAAACTCGACCTGAAAGTGCGAGAGAGCCTTTTTCCTCTAAGTCTGACTTGAAAGGAAAGATCTGGCAGCTTGAAAGTCGCAGAAAATGAGCTTATAGCTTTTAGCTATAGCTGCAGGTGTATTGCGAGCGCCGCAGAGGAGCGCATTTTAGGCTCACGATGCACAGAACGGCTGTAGGCCTGCTGTATTCAAAGCTTAAAGTGCGCTGCATTCTGCCTGAGCGGAAAGACTGGTGCATGAACTCCAGTTACAACAAGCACTGTAAGAAGCTGGGCTGCCCAATCGGCTGGATTTCGTCCGCACACTCAGGCTTTCCTGCACCGGGGGTCCTCCTTCTGTCCCCCATGCTCCCCCCACGCCCTGTTAACAACTAACACCACTGTCCTCGTCCCCTGGTTGGCCTGCATACACGTACTGTGGATGCCGTCCCGGGTACGTCTGTGCCTTTTTTTTTTTTTGTGCCTTCACCTAGAGAACTTTTAGGAACGTGAAACAAGATGTTTTTGCAGTGACAGCCATCATTACAGCAGCATTACATTCACCTGGAGCTGACTGCCCCCCTGGCTCTTTGGGTGCCGCTCCCCTCCCCATCACATTGTGTGTTTTGCTGGCTGTCTCATTTGGTGTTGGAGTTACATAATAGGTGAAAACGTTCAGTTTTAAAACGGTCTCAGGCCTCCAAGCGAACATGGTCTGTGAACGGCACTGTTCACAGGGCCCCCATGGAGCCAGGAACGCACCAGACACGGGCCCTGTCCTACGTGTAGTTAATGTGTGTTTGAGGTGTGGAAGTTGCCATGGTGACACTGGCAGTTAGCATGTTATTAAGCTGCCCCCAAACTTGTCATGAGTTTGGAGATTGCCAGGCTCAGCCGACACAGAGGACTCTGATTGGCTGTATCGCTGGCCCTGTGCACAGAGGTCTCTGATTGGCCGCTCGGGAGCACCTCTGCACTAGCCAAGACCTTAGCTGTAATTGACCAAAGATGTTTCGGCATCTCACGACCTCACTGGATGTTTCTGGAACCTGTACCCTTGTGGCGCCGTTATCCCGGTCCAGCCCTGATATGCCACTTAAATCGCTGTCCTTTCTGGCCTGTCGAAATGCTTTCTGCACGAGTAAAATGGCTCCCTTTGCCATTAAATCCTTTCAGCTAGCCTTCAGTAAAACAAATTTAGACCTATAAATAATAGGGGTAAAATACAGTAGATATTGAGGCAAATTCTGAAATTTATTTCTAAACTCGGGGGCTGGCTGGCTTAATAATATTAATGACAGGCCATTTTTACAAGAATCGTCTGTGTGCCTGTGTACACATTCACTGGCTGCTTTAATAGACCCGTTCAACTGCTCTTTGAAGCAAATATGTAATCAGCCAATCACATGTCAGCAGCACAGTGTATAAAATCAGGCAGATTCAGGTCAGGAGCTTCAGTTAATGTTCACATCAAACACCAGAATGGGGAAGGAAGGTGATTTAAGTGACTTTAAATGTGGCATGGTTATTAGTGCCAGATGGGCTAATAGTAGTAATAATAATAATAATAATAATAGTAGCTGCGTGGGCCTTATTGTCATACCTTCCACATACTGGTATACAGTAGCATGAAATAAGGTTCCCCCAGGACCGCGGTGTGACATAGACAGCGAGTGACGGGGGGAGGGTTTGCACGGGACTTGCAGTCCAGAACACAGGACAGTGTGAATCGGGGGGGTTTATATACACAGTGCAGTGTGTATGTTTGTAACTGATAAGTTATACAGCAGCAGCGTAATTGGTAGGATAAATAAGTACAGTAATACATTTTGGGGGTAAAAACAGACCCCAGCAGAGGAGTTTGCCCATCTGCTGCCCGGGGTGTGACGCCTGTCCCTCTGCTCCCTCTCTCCCAGGAGCTGGCCAGCTGCGGCTGGAACAAGAAGGAGAAGCACAGCCTGGCGCCCAACGTGGTGGCGTTCACGCGCCGCTTCAACCAGGTGAGTGCGGTCACTGTCCAGTCCACACCTCCCCCGGCGTATGGCCAGTCAGCTTTTCCCGGTGTCACACACACACACACACACACACACACACACACACACACATGTAGGGTAAACATATCCTTATGGGGACCGCTCATTCATTTCATTGGGAAAAATGCTAATGCTAACTATGACAACCTTAACCCCTACCCTGCCCTAACCATAACCATAAGTAACCTAACAAAATACAAGAGTTTTTGCATTTTTAGTTTTTTCGTAGCAGTCACCGATTTTTATAAAATAGAGTTTTCCCTTATGGGGACCAGGAAACCGGCCCCCATAAGGGATAAAAAACAGATATTTATCACATTATGGGGACATTATGTCCCCATAAGGATAGGTAAACTCGCTCACACACACATACACACACACACACACGCACGCGGCTGGCTTAAACCTGCGATGTTCCCTCAGAGCTCCAGCCGGGTGTCGAGCCCCTAGCCACCTGTCCTCTGCGACATGTCTTCCATTTTCCTGTGGTGTGACTGGTTCCAGCTTTGGCTTCGTACGTGATGTGGCCCTGAAGGCGATCACATCTGCAAGGTCCAGCCCTGTTCCGCAAGTCCTATAAACGCCCGCAGCTGGGCTCTGTTATCGATCGATGGGGGGGCTCATTATCAGCAGGATCCCTGATGCCTCCTGACCACCAAAGAGAATTCCTTTAGCACATTTATTCGTTCCCCATCTTCCTATAGTCCTCTCAAGGCATATCATGTAATGCATGGCCCCAGAGGCAGGGGGAGCTGTGGCAGACCAGGGTTGATAGAACATGCTGCATGGCTTGTACTTTTTAAATTAAAGGTTATCAGTTCAAATCCCAAGATAAGCACTGATGTCTTACATAAATTTTCCCAATACAATAAAAACTGGCTTAGCGTATAAAATGTAGGAAAGTACCGTAGTACAAGTGAGGACTAATGGCGTAAAGCCCATATCTCCAAAGAACATTTAGCCACAGAGAAATGTTGTCTCATAAGAGTATCCCACTTTCCCAGTGTGGTGCAGAGACAAGCGTAAAAGCCATTTCTTCTTGTTTTGTTCAGTAACTCTGTCATTTTGCTGTAGGCTCTATATTGCAGACTCTCTCACTGTTGTCCATCGCCAGTTCTCCATGGCCAGTTTCACTGCATTCTTCTGCTCGCCCCCAAAACCTGGCTCATGTTAATCCTAAGAAACCATAACTGTGAATTTATTTACGTTGCATGCACATTTTCCTGGATTTCGTTTGGAGACATGCTATATTAAGCCAAAGTAAGAAAATTATCTTTGAGATGCCATATAGAGCAATTAGGTTTTATTGATAATGAAATCCTTTATTTAGCTTTCCAGCTGAGCAGTGAATGGTGTGTTCTGCTTGATGTTCAGGCTCTGTTTGCGTAATTCTCTGTAGTTAAACGCCAGCCTCTGCTGTGGTTATGTTCCTGGTTACAGTGGTTGGCTTGTAGCATGTCCATGTCCTTTTGATGGTCTTCTGATGTTGATTTGGGGCAATATTAGGATGAAGAGTAATTTTACGGTCATACCACCCTGAGTACGCCCAATCTCAGAAGCTAAGTTGGGCTTGGTGTGTACTTGCCTGGGAATATGAGGCGCTGTGGGGTTTTGTGGATGGGGTGAGGCTCAGCAGGTTAGGGGGCTGTGCCTGTGATCAGAAGAGTGGGGGTTCAGATCCCAGGCTTAGCAGAGTGATTGAGCCATTGGGACCCTGAACAAGACCCTTAACCCTCGTTTGCAAAACAAAAAACAAATTCAGTATTTTAAAACAAATGTAGGGTAACTGATTTATTATTTTTTTATATTGAAGCATGTTATTTCAATTATTATGTTTGGTGCTGTGTTATGAGTAACTATGGTTATGTTGGGATTTGTATTTCACAATGCAAATAATTTCTGACAAATTTCAGGACTTGCACAACCTGGGTCATGATGACATGGCAGAGTGTGATTGCGGGGCCTTTACGGTCCCTTGTAGCGTTTCAGATGGGGTTCAGTGTTGAAGGATGACACCAGAATCCCGTTTGCTGGGGGTGGAGGCAGAGCTGGGATTTCCGCTGAATTGTGTGTCTGTCCAGCTCCTTAAGCCCTTCAGCCTCTTTGTACTGTTTGGATTTACTTACTTATTTACATCATTCCCAGGGTTTGGTACATGATTATAGGGAAACAGTCTCACTCTCTGATACTATATATATCGGTTTTAAAGTTTGAATTATTTTATTGAAGATTAGTCTTTATTTGAGCAAGTTAAGTAAGTGTTATTTGAGGCTTGGTTTTGAGCTTTAACCCTAAAGGGGAAGGTTTGGGTATGAATGGAAAGACTTTCAGTCAGTGAGCTTAATACTCCTATGTAAGGTTTGCCTATCTGACGTTTGCAGTGCTGCTCTCTGTAGTGACCAGAGCTGTTCTGTGTTCTACAGGCTGGGCTGCGTGGCTGATGTTGATGTTTTTGCGTGTCTCACTCAGACAGATCATGGGGTATTTGGGAACTGCACAGCATAACAGAATAAACTCCCATTCATATTTATGAAGATGCCGCAAAAGGCGGCAAATCGGTGAGCTGTCTGGCTGGTTTCTCTCCTCTGCCTGGGGTCCAGGACCAGCCTGCTGAGTGAGGAAGACCAGTGGAACCATGAATGCGCAAATCGCCAGATAGGACTCCTCTGGCGTCCAAAGCAGTGTGCTCACACGTTGTTTGCATTTTAATTTTTTTTATAGCAGATATCTTTATCCGAAATGACATGGAGATAGCGGGTCAGACCGTATCCCAGGAGCGGCTGAATTGGCCATTAAGGGCCTTGCTCAGGCGCCCACCAGTGACATCACTCTGCTGAACACCGGATTTGAAGCGGCGGCCGTAACACCGCACACCCCTTAGTTCCGTGGCGTAGCTGGACATAGGGGTCTGAGACCCATGACACATCCTCTGCCTGCACACCCTCCACATGTGCGATTACGTTTTCTGATAAACCAGCATGTGTATGTACACGCACTGCTGCTGAGGATTTCGTCACTTCTGATATTAACATGAGGGGCCCCCGCACGTTTTAGCCACCCCGGCTCCCCCCGTCCCTGTCAGATGTCTTTGTATTGCATATACGACTCATTTTGCTGTGTGACCGTGTGACCATGTGACCGTGTGACCATTTGACTCGGCTCAGTCACCCTTTCCTTCCCCGCTGCCGTCAGTTTGGCTCGGTGACGGGGTTTTCAGCTCTCTCCGCAGCGTCCTTGGCAGGAATAGTCACATGTCAATTGGGCCCTTCAGCCAAGGCCATTAAGCCCCCCCCTACTGCCGGTCAAATGGAAGACCCTGTGCTCAGACCCTAAGCTTTACGCTCACCGGTGTGTGTGCGTTTCTAAATACCAAGAGCGCAAAGATCGTATTTGTGGTCTTGGTAAGACCAGTCTTCGTAACATGCCTCCCAAGAAGAAACTTGGGGAGCAATGAATCATGGGATTGGTCTCGTTTGGTGAAGATGCAAATGATATATTCTTGATATTTGGGGCGACGCATGAACGACATCCGGGGATTTTTATTGTACCTGTGCTGCTATTCTTAGTCTTGGAACTGGTCATTGTCAATGGAAAATTATGTAAAACTGGTACTCGAGATCACAAGTACGGTCAAGTATGCATTTTGAGAAACGCCCTGTGTATGTCTGAGGAGAGCATGATGTGATTATGTGAAAAGAAGCGTTCCATCCAAATGTCAAGTCGGGCATCCTCTAATTTTTTTTTCCCATTCCATCCATGTGTTTCATGCAGGTCAGCTTCTGGGTGGTGAGGGAGATCCTGACTGCTCAGACCCTGAGGATACGAGCCGAGATCCTGAGTCACTTCGTTAAAATAGCCAAGGTGAGTGGGATGCAGGGTTCGGATCCCTCCTTCACCGTGTCTGCTGTAGTCACGGCAGTGTTACGTTTCCACAGGGATGTCAGAGGAGTGAGGACCAAGCCTTACAACTTCACCAGAAAGCCACCGGCCAACATAGATTTTATACATTTTGAAGATTTTAACTGAAAAATTGTTAATGGACTGAAAAAAAACTTCAAATAATGTAAAAAGGTTTTTAAATTTGCTTGAGGTGGTTTTGTGGCAAACCAAAAAACTAGGTGCAAACATAATTCACTGAACTGTAATGGAATTGAATAGCTATGGAGGACAGGTTAATTAGTACTTCTGGGGCTACTAATGTGTGGAAAACTCACCCGACATTGAAGCATGATGATCTGATTAAATGGCAGCGATTATTCATGATATAGTTAATGGTAACACACCCTATTCACATTTTCACTTTGTCAATCCAGTTATAATTGCACAAACCTTTAATGTGAGCATAGGTATGGTATGCTTGACTTTGCTCTCAGGACAAATGCAGATTGGAAGTGACATCAGCATCTGCTGCAGTTTTGGAATCAGTGTTAATGTAACAGTTTGAGTCCAAGAAGTGATAAAATTTGAATGACGATTTCCCCCCCCACCCGACCACGGCCAACAGTGAGCTGCTGGCTCTCGTTGCAAGTATGGGGGGAGGTTCTTTCAGTGTGTCTCAGCTGTTGGCCTTTGGCACCATGAATTGGGCCCGCATCGGTCCCGCGCTTGGACTTGGGAATACTGGATCTGTCGGAAGTGTTCGCTTGTCGCCTGATTTTCGGCTGATCAGAGCAGGAGGGTTAGAGCTTGGGTGAAGCATAGAGGGTCGGTGACGGGGAGGGGGCACATATCCTGTCAGGAAGGACCTTGTAAATCGACCAAACAGCACATTCCCATCTGTCCACTGGGGGTATGACTGCGGAGTACGGGTGATTACAGAGCAGAGCAGTATCTCAGATAATAGGAGATCCCCGTCAGCGTGGTCCTTTTGGATGCCTTACGCCTCTCTGTCTTTTGACAAAACCACGTGGACCAAAAGGGGTCAGTGCACGGTTAATATCGCGATCTCCCTCCCCCCTGAAAAAGATTCCTCTCTCTTTCCGATCCTGCGGCCAAGTGCACAAGAACCACATTTGCGATTAATTGCTATTGAAGCGTTTAACTGGACTCGACATCTGCCCTAAGAAATTCCCATTTGTTTTTTTTCCGGTTTGTGCTGGAACGTTCTGGCAGCGAACTAATCAATGGTGTGGAGCTTTTGGCCGACGGACCAGCACCAATAAATAGATGGACGACCTCTTAATTCTTTCAGATTTTTATTTTGGAAAGTTCCAGATCTTTTCTCATATGCCCAGATGTCTCTGTAGTGCTGACACGTGGAATTAGGAGATTTAGCTGGAGGTGAAGATGATCCCAAATGTCATTTAGGTGTACAGAGGGATCAGTGAGTGCGCTTGGTATCTGGCAGATGGATCAGTCCTTCAGGAGGAATATTATAGAACAGGATGCGTCTGTCTGTCGCCGTCCGTACCGGAGTACCTCAGGGGACTCTCAGAGGATGCACCTCGTTCACAGGTGTACCAGTGTCCCCTTGCAACCATTTAAATTCTCCTTTTATTCTCCTGGTCCTTACTGGCCTGTCTGCATATACAGTACTGTGCTATTTGTCTGGACAATGAGTCTATATTTGCTCAGACAAAAACATAATTTAACAATGAAACCCATACAAATTAAGAGCAATACAACAAAAACTAACAAGAATGCCTTCTGTTCTCCAAAAAGTTACTGATAACTAGTAGGATGACTAGAAGAACTCCTCTCCTCAGGGGCACCAAGCCATTCTAATGTATTTGTTAAATTTCATGGCTGGTTCAATTAATTATTTAGTTAGAGGTATTGATCAGCCAAACAAGGTGGGCTAGTGGTTGAGTCAAAAAATACATGAGTATGCTGGGTTGGTGCCGCCAAATACTGGGGAGACTTTAAGAATTAAGACTTTAATTTGTAGAAATTGACACTTTGACAGACATCATTGTTTTACACAAACATAAAGATAATTTAAATATTTTTTTTGACTGCCTAAGATGTTTTGTGGAATATCGTAGGTCACACACTAATCGACTAATTAAAAACACATGAGTTAGCCTCTTTATTAGATGGAATTATCTACATGTACATTCTTCTCACTGGCACTTTCCTGATTACCTCAAATTGCCAGGCAAAATACATTTTTCCCCACCAGTGACTGGCCCGTGACCTTGCACCTCTAGTAGATGGAAATATCTACATGTGCATTCTTCTGTGGCACTTTTCTGACAACCGGCAAAGTCTCCCTGCAGTGTCTAGGCCCTGAACCTGCTGTTAATTCTTTGAAATGTAGAAGTTGTCGTGGTCGGATTCCTGCTGCGTCGAGAACTTCGGAGAGACTACCTGGCCTAAACATTTAGGGAGCGTCTCTAAATGTTTGTGTGTGACAAAAAAATGTGTAGTTTGCAGCTGTAATGATCATTGCTCTGCTCCGTATCGAAGCTTCGTGCTTGGCAGCGTGGCCACCTTCGCCTCCACGCTTCTCCAGACGGCAGAAACAAAATGTTCCTCTGGACCTGCGACCGCCGGGCCCTGCCGATCCAGAGTGCAGGCCATGAAGTTTGGGCTGTGGTGGAGCCTTGACGTCATGGGCTAGGACGGGGTGGGGTGGAGGGGAAGGCTAGACCGGGGGAACGGAAATGGGCTGGCAGGTCAAGCGGCCCTTTCTGTCTCTGAACGAGACCACCGTGTTCCCCAGGTGGAGGTGGAGGAGGTTCTCCAAAGAATGAGAACCAAAGGAGTCTCCAGATCAGCAGGATGTCACTGGTCACGACCAGCCTGACACTTACTACTATTTTTAGCCATTTGAGGCCATCTCTCTTTGGGGGAGAAGTTGTTTTAGGGGGATGAGGTGGGTAGGTCATGTAACTGACAATGAGGAACATCAAAGGGGAGGGGTGGTTAGGGTGGGTGTTGGGGGGGGTTTGGGAGTGTCACAGTGAAGGGGTGGTTAGAGTGGGGGGTTTTTGGGAGTGTCACGCCGCCTCTCTGGTGACCCATCTTCTCCTCCTCGCAGAAACTCCTGGAGCTGAACAACCTGCACTCGCTGGTGTCCGTGGTGTCGGCCCTGCAGAGCGCTCCCATCTTCAGGCTCAGCAAGACCTGGGCGGTAAGGGCGGCTCGCCGGATGCGGGTTCGAGTGGCGGCGGACCGGGTTGGGGAGGAGGCCGTGGCCGTGCACGGCGTACTCACTGTTCCTGCCCCTCCATTTGTGCTCAGTGCTGCCTTCACTGCGACTGTTAACGTCTGAATACAGCACTGCCGGTATAAAGTGTCTCTTCAGTATCCGCCTGACAGGTCTCTCTCCATGAGCCTGACAGGTCTCTCTCCATGAGCCTGACAGGTCTCTCTCCATGAGCCTGACAGGTCTCTCTCCATGAGCCTGACAGGTCTCTCACCATGAGCCTGCCTTTGTATAAAAAAAAAAAAAAAAAGCCTTTTGGCAGGAGCGAGCCCAGAGAACTGCGTTTTCCTTTGAGATTCACGTGAATCCAAGGGTCAGTATAGGGTCAGTGCTGTCTGTTATGTTAAACTTGTTGTTTCTGGGAAAAGGCTACAGCAGAAACAGCGCTGAGTCTCCACCTCACACACACTATTATACTTAATTATAAAATGGATTATAAACACCGATGCTGGGAATTCTTTGTCGTTCATCTGCTTATGTTTTTCCCATAAGTCTGTGGGTCGCCATGGGTCTTGCCCCTTAATGCTGGCTCGGTTCCTAGCCAGTATCTGTGTCCGATTCCTCGGCCGTTCTCGACACGGACCCAGGACGGGGCTCAGCTGCTAATCGGTATCTCAGGAAGGGCGATTGTGGGCCAGCACCGACTCAGAGCCACGCTGTTTCCGGAAGCCTGGCCTTTGTCACGCACATCGTGCAGAGAGAAGCCACTTTCTCTCGTCCACTGTGAATTTTCCAGATAGCCGACATTTATCCGAGGTTTATCTTGGTGTTTGGCCGTCCCAGATGGGCGGGTCCTGCATTCTAAATAACATCGCTTAGAAAAAGTGCAGCTCCAGATGGGAAAGTGAACACGTGGACACCTTCAGTGTTTCCGAGGACGGGGGAGACTGTCTGTGTCCCCTCTGCTGGCTCCCAAGGCTCGTTCCTGCTGCAGAGGAATGCAAGTCCCCCTTGCTGCCGTTTCCATTAGGAAGTCTGACCAACCCTCCAAGGCTGAGAACAATTAGGGACTGCCTGTGAAGCTGTAGCGCCGTGACGGTCTGTCTGCTTTTATGGCATAAACGCCACATCAACACACATGTTTTGGGCAGTTTTGCTTATTCCCTTTAATTAAGCGAAAGAGCCCTTTTTACTGCGTGCATGTTGATTACTTTTCTAGGGTGTAATTTGTTCTCTTTTTGCTGCATGGGGGTCCTTTGGGGTGGGCGGGGGCGGGTCCTCGATGTCCTCTTGTCAGTTTTTGCTTTGGTCTGGCCTGCATGTAATTTGTAATTTAAACATTTTTGGACATGACTACTCAGTGTGAGGGCTCCTTACCGCCCCCTGCAGTTTGAAAGCAGCAGTGCGCAGGTGATTAGTCACACGGTCTCTGACCCTTCCATGTCCTGATGGTGGAAGGACCACCATAAGGTGGTCTGCCGCCTCTGCTCTGTGAAGGCCTCCCCGATGAGTCGCTGCATTAGCTGCTGCGTGTCTGCTTAGCTGCTGCACAGTGCAGCCCTTGTTTATACATTGGTAAGCAGCAGACCCATAGCAGAAAGCTGTCCTTTCAGGAGGGCCTTCTTGCCACAGTGCACTTTTCCTTGGATGGTGCATGTGCAGCCCCCGCTCCTGCTGGGAGCTGGTAGTCAGCATGAAACCCCTTGCTGCACGTCTGTGGGGGTGGACTGCGGCTTCCTGCACAGGCGCAGGCTGTGTGATGTCGGCTTCTCAGCCATTATTCTGCAATGCATTGCTTTTGATCCATTTCAGCATGATCCAGTTGATCAGGGAAAAGATTTATTACCTGATGTTCAAACCACATCCACATCCTTTTTCCCAGAAGGCCTTTCTGTCGTTACTGACAGTAGTTGTTGGGCTGTCATACATGACATTCTGTAGCTTTGTTCTACCCAGTATTAATACTGCCCTGTTCTTCCTGAGCTACAGGCTAACCCCAGCCCTCTCCTGGATAAGGTGGGATGGATGGATGGATGATATTAGTGACAGTCACATGTCACAGACCTTCAGACAGTATCTTACCGGCCAGAATGAAGTCGTGTTAGGAATTTGAGGCGCTGACCATCACTGAGCATTTATTAACACTGAGTGCTGCTGATGACTGGACTTCATGACCCGTCCTGGAGTGACTGTGTGTATCACTGGCATAATTCCTGTGGGATGAACGGACGGCGGTGTTGTCGTACCATCCCAACCAGCCCCCCCCCCCCCCCCCACACAGCATTTCCATTGATACAAGGAGGTCTGTCATGTCCGGGGCTCTGGTGGTGATCAGAACATGGGGTGTTTGGCCAGAACTCTCTGGTTCTGTCTGCTCGTGTTGGCCCCTGTTAGTACGCGTAAGATGCTGTCCGTTGGATGCTGCTGCGCGGGATGCTGCTGCGCGGGATGCTCCTCCTTCCTCCAAGCCCCAGTATCTGTAAAATCATAACCATGCCCATTCTTCACCAACCTTTCATACTCTGCCCTGACACCTATATATCCCCATTAACTTTTGGTTACAAGGCAGAAATTCATATTTTGCATGCATTCCCCATTGCAATCCCTTTCATGTGGGTGGGGTTTTGGGGTCCTGGACCCTAAGTGGTTACACACCTCCCACCCCCATGGCTCATTATACATTTTTTGCATGATGATTGATGACACGCACAATGGCAGCAGCCTTTCCTGAGGATCGCTTTCTGTTCACTTTCTGTTCCACTGGGGTTCTCGTGCGACCGAGGCAGAGTTCTTCCTGAATTAGAGGCTTGTCTCCTTATTGCACACACACGTCGGTCTCAGGGCTACCGCCCGCTGGGCCCCTTTGTCCTGGCTGTGCACCGCACACAGGGTGCCAGTCTTTGTCTGTAAAATGGCCACCCATCCCTGCCGATAAGACCATTCCGGGTTCCCTTCCATGAAGGCCGTCAAAGTCTCTAAAGTGAGCTTCTGCAAACAGAAATCGGCAGGACACGCTGACGGACGGGGCGTCCCCTTCACTGCAGTCATCGCTCCAGATGTGGGGAGACCAGCTCCCATGATTCAGTATCCAGAACAACCCCCCCAATCTCCCTCTGGCCCAGCAGCTATTACTGTATGAATGAGACCAATAAAACACTTCAGGAGTTAGGAACCCCTTTTCTTAAGTCCCGGCCTCCTCCACTGGGGCCGTTTTCGATCCTGCTTCTCAGAAAACGGCCCACGGGTTGTTAAGTTTAAATCTCTCAAAAATGACCACAGTAGCGTGTTTGTGTTCTGCAGAAGGCATGCAGGGTGCCTCTGGGATTTTCACACACCCTTCATGTTGGAACCGCAGGTCGATTCTGTGGGCGATGACCGTGGGTGATTTTCCTGGCCCTCTCGCTTTCACACACCTGTTGGATTAATTTTCCATAGGCTCTACTGGTACTAGGGACATTTCATGCAGGCTGTACTGGTACTAGGGACATTTCATGCAGGCTGTACTGGTACTAGGGACNTTTCATGCAGGCTGTACTGGTACTAGGGACATTTCATGCAGGCTGTACTGGTACTAGGGACATTTCAAATATCCTTCTTTCTGTGAGCCAGCACAGAATTGACTTAGCTGTACAGTGAGCTACCCGTATCTGCTGAGGCAGTGGGTGCATTTCAGGAAAGGTTGGAGCCTCTAGGATGAGAACCATCCATCCATCCATCCATCATGTGTGGCATAGTCCCAGCTGTGTTTCGAGCCACCCTCCCCAAAGAAAGCCCCCCCCCCCCCCGACTGAAATGGCTGTTCTGCGGGGGATTCCCTGGCTGACCTGCTTAAGTGGATCGTTCACCCACAGATAACCAGCCTCTCAGTCAGTCAGTCTTTCATCCACTCCTTCTCTCCTTCACTGTATCACACACGCGGACGCGGCCTGAGTGATTTTTATGGATTTACAAACAGCCCTTGGCTGCTTATGATGTTTCTGGCACTATTCTGCCCTAGACATAGAAGAAATGTGCTATCAATAAATAAACATATAAACATGTTGACAAATAAAGGTACGGCTGTACAGTCAGTCTTGGAGTTGGTATTGCTGCAATTCAGTGCCCGTCCAGCAGTTTCCATATAAGGCTGTTTAGAGTATGAAATATGTACAGCTTCAACGTATAACATACATCTTCATCTCTTCAACAAATTAGACGGGGTGTTCCCCCTAATTTCTTGGGTAGAGCCCTGGCTGCGGTGTTCCCCCTGGTTCCTCGGGTAGAGCCCTGGCTGCGGTGTTCCTCCTGGTTCCTCAGGTACAGTCCTGGCTGCGGTGTTCCCCCTGGTTCCTCCGGTAGAGCCCTGGCTGCGGTGTTCCCCCTGGTTCCTTGGGTACAGCCCTGGCTGCGGTGTTCCCCCTGGTTTCTAGGGTAGCGCCCTGGCTGCGGTGTTCCCCCTGGTTCCTTGGGTAGAGCCCTGGCTGCGGTGTTCCCCCTGGTTCCTCGGGTACAGCTCTGGCTGCGGTGTTCCCCCTGGTTCCTCGGGTACAGCTCTGGCTGCGGTGTTCCCCCTGGTCCCTCGGGTACAGCTCTGGCTGCGGTGTTCCCCCTGGTCCCTCGGGTACAGCCCTGGCTGCGGTGTTCTCCCTGGTTCCTTGGGTAGAGCCCTGGCTGTGGTGTTCCCCCTGGTTCCTTGGGTACAGCCCTGGCTGCGGTGTTTCCTCTGGTTCTTTGGGTAGAGGCCCAGCTGTGGTGTTGTCTCTGGTTCCTGACACCTGGGGCTGGATTTCCACTCGCCCAGACGCTCTGCGAAACTGTCTGCTTAAACTCAACTGGCTGTCACTTCGGGTTTCCACCAGGCCTCAGACGCTTTGCAGAGCAGAATATAATTGTGGAGAAAGAGCTGGAGTCATGGTTTCTGGGCCAACGGCACAGAATGTAACGAGGAGATGGCGGTGCCAGAGGACTGCGGCTGGACCGTTTCTGCATGTGAGCAATTCGAGTTTAGACCGGGGTGGCCTGGGGGCGATTAGGCTCCCCACCCACCTCTCCTTCCCCAGAAAGAGGCAGCTGTAATGATCCATGACTAAAACCTCCCTGCTGAGCAGTCAACGATTCTGAGCGACTGCTTTCTCCTTTAGAGAAGTATTAAGTTGTTAAATGCTAAGCAAATGACGAGCCCTCATAGTGTGTTTGGCACAATCGCGATTAGCGGCTCTCTGTTTAATTAGCACTGTCGCTGACGCCTGTTCGTTAGTCTGTCCTAGGGGGTGTTTCATAAAGTAGGATTTCTTGCTTAGCCGGATAATTTGTCAGATATAAGGTAGTCTGGATTAAATGTAAGTGAAAGAAGATGAACTCCATTTAGCCTAGACTACCTTAAATCCAACAAGTTATCCGGCTAAGCAAGAAATCCTGCTTCACAGAACACACGCTGAAATCCTGCATCTTTAACAATCTCGTATATCAACACTGGAGTCAGTGTTAGGAATGTGACTTGGTGGGATAGGACTCAATGCTTGTGATCGGAAGGTCTCTGGTTTGAATCCTGGGGTCAGCAGACTGATGCCGCTGATGGGCCCCTGTTTAAGACCCTTAGCCCCCAGCTCCAGGGGTGCTGCACGCTGGCTGACCCTGTGCTGTGACCCCCGAACTTGCTTTCACCTGTATATGTATCTCATGGAGAACAACATATGGGGTTTGAGAAGAGAGAATTTCCCCATGGAGATGAATAAAGTAACACTATAATTCTATTCTTGATTGCTTCTTGAGACCAATGATGATGGCGTAGTCACATATCCAATGATTCTCTCAATGCTGTTCTAAGACTTTATCATGGACAAAGAGATGGGAGGGGCCACGCAGCCTTGTGGTGATCTAGTGCTTGTCAACACAATATCCAGTCTGGACTCATTCACCAGACCTGATTTACTGCCTGTGTGGATGATGTGTGAAAAGCACACAATTTCCTTACAAGGATGAATAATGTACTTCTGTTCTGTAACAAGATATTGAAATGGCTTCATCAGCACAGAGGTTTGGGTGGCTGTTCTGTAACCATGAAGGTCACCGTTAAGCCTCAGGACTTTGGGAATAGGGATCAAGTGGGTTTCGAAGCGCAGTAGCTGAGAGAAGCTGTTAGAGATTCAGGGAGGTCCGGCTCATCGTCAGAGCAAACTGCAGCCGGACAGTCATTGATTTAAGTTTTATTGAGGGCTCTGATTTGATTTGCTGTTCCACTCTGAGGCAGAGTTGAATTTTGAAGTCTCTTTGCAGTGTGCAGTTCTTAACTGAGGAGTGTGTAATGCTGGCTGCTGCTATTTGCCTAGCAAGAATACTGTGTCAGTGTATTCATAGGGGGTGCCACGTGTCGCTTTCACAATGTGCCAGTCACATACTCCCGGAGACCAGGACTTCACAGCTGTTGTTTTTGGCTTGTGGGATTTTCACTTTTTTCTTTTGGGATGGAATTAGAGAAGGCTTGTGTAGTCATGTTTATCCAGCGGCACACATGGGGGAAATGCGATATGCATCAGGATCTGCAGTGAATCCAAGCAGGGTGTTTCCTTAGAGCAGGGATCACCAAATCCTGTCCTGGAGGGTTCAGTCTGCACCACAGTTTGCAGATTACCCTACTAAACCTGGCAATGAGCTGGTGAGCTAAATGAGGTGTGTTTGAGCCGGGAAATCTGCAAGCTATGGTGTAGACTGAACCCTCCAGGACCAGAACTAGGGAGCCTTGCCATAGAGGATGCATGCTGAATTAGCACTGTGCTGTTAGCAGTACCTGACGGTGGAGTACAGATGACGATTAGCCCAAAAGATGCAAACTGCGGGAAGGTAGAGTGGTCTGCAGATTATAGGAAGGTGTCCGTGGAACAACGGCTGCCCAGAACAATAGCATCGTTGCAGAAACTGAAAGTAAAGCTAAAAACATGAAACATAGTGGTTGAGGGCTGCCTAGGCATGAGGCGGTCATGCACATCTAGCCGGACACCGAAAATGACGCAGACGCAGACGCGGAGCAGCTGGGGCTCAGTGGCACTGGCAGTGGGGGTTCGTGAGAGCAGCCTCAGCCCCTCGGTTATCTCTGCTGTTGAAATTTTTCCATGAATATGCTTCTAATCACAGGATTTTTTTTCTGTATCCTTCCCATGATGTTCACTACTTAGACTATTTGCCTTGTCTCCTGTTTTTTCACATGCGGAAGTTTCTTATATAAAAAAAGCATGTTTACAGATGAATAAATACATGTAAAATAGCATGTCCTTGTCAAATAATTGGAAGGTAGTTCTGACTTCTTATATTTAGAATTCATCCGTGGTGCAGAGCCGTTTATATACACTATAAAAATGTGAAATAGAGAACTTAAAATATCAAGGCAACGTGATGTGACACATTTGAGTTTTCCCAACTTAAAAGCAAGACTAAACTATGTTGCTTTAAGTTTGGAAATCTCAAAAATGTTTTGCGTCACGTTGCCATGATATTTTGTTATCCCCACTCCACAGTTTTTATGGTGTATTAGAATTTGATTGGTTAGTGGGCTTGAATATCTGATTGGCTGTTTGATCATCTTTCTCAGCTAATCAGTCGAAAGGACAAGGCCACGCTGGACAAGCTGGACTACCTGACCTCCAAGGAGGAGAACTACACGCGCATGCGGGAGTACATCCGCTCTCTGAAGATGGTTCCATGCATCCCCTACCTGGGTGAGTGTTTCCTGGGTGGTCCTTCCTCCAAACCTAGTCCCTCTGATCCTCCGTGGTCTGCGGGAGACCTCCATCTTTCCATGAGCTGGCAATGGCCTCGTTTTACTACCGGTTGAGCTTAAGCAGATCCCTCACCTTGAGCACTTGTCAGATCATGGAAGTGTTTCTGCCTTAGGTGGCCTGGAACAGAACGTTTTTTTATTTTTATTTTTTATTTTATTTTATAAAAGAAGCATGACTATGACCTCCCCTCCGGTCGAGACTCGTCCCCCTGCTAACTGCCGCTGGTTAGGCTAGCGGTGTTTTTGGGAAATCCCCGTTGCGAATCCTCAGCTTTGCAGCGGTGTGAAATGTCACCCCCCCCTGCCGGCTTTGGGGACCTGCACTGCCGGCTCTTTGTTCAAACCGTCCTGAGGCCGTAGGTCTTCCGGGATCTCGTGGTGCAGACACACGCGATCGTAATCGTCTTTCCAGGCAAGCTGGGGAAGCGTGCTTTTTCACACTTTAATCAGATACAAGGCCTCTTCTCGGCTCTCGCCTGGTGTAGACACCTCTTTCCCCTTTACGGGGGGGAATGTTTTCAGGAAGGCTAATGGATGCTACATCCCCATCTCTCAGTGGCTGAGGTTTGTGGCTTGTTGGCTCTGTGGGCCCTCTGGGACGAAATGGGACCCGGTGGGGACCAGAAGCAGAGGCTGAGGAGCTTCATGGAGTGAAAGTTGTGGCATTTCACCTTTATCAAGGGGGCTTATGTATTTTTTAAAGGTGCTGAAAAGCATAAAACCAGGTGCTGTGAGGCGCAGGCACTATTGTGACACATCGGGTAAATAAAAAGTCAGTAAAGAGCTAATTAAATTTTCAGTGTTTTTTATTTATTTTAAATTAATCTGGCTCCTGATCAAACAGATGGAACTTTCTGTAACCCCCCCATGGAATATTTGCAGTGGTAGAGCCCGTGAAAAGTCTGCACACTTCAAGTGTGAGATTCAGAGAACCTACCACATTGATGGAAATCTTGATTACAGTAATAACTCTTCTCTCAGAGCTGTACAGTACGGTCAGTTTGATGCTAAGCAGTTAATTTCACTCCCAGATAGTCTTGTTTGGCCATACTGGAAGCTGCTGTGTCCTTGTGGAGTTTGAGAAATAAAACTGCAGATAATGTAAATGGCATAGAGCCCTGGTTCAGTATCACACGGAGGGTGTCGGTCTGAGGGAGAACCGCGGGAGACCTGGCAGCCTCCTTTCTAATGACCTTCCTGGGTTACGGAGAAGGTCACTGCTTTCTTAGATGCCCTGGATGTCCAGCAGGGGGCAGGGCAGCATGTGCGGTGAGCATCAGTGTGATGTTCCGGGGGGACAGGATGTGACACAACCCTCCTCCAAATGGGTTTTAAGGACATAATGGGCTGTACCCATAATGGACTGGTCTCCCATCGGAGCTGTTCCCCTGCCGTATGCCCCCGCCCCCCACACACACACCAATGACCCTTACCTAGAGAAGCATCTGGAAGATGGATGGATGGATGGATGGATATGCTATGAGAACTTCTGTTCCATTTGGCTCTCCTGAGGTCTCCTGGGAGGATTATGTTCAGATGTTCACTGCAGGATGGTTTGATTTTCCTGTACAGGTAGGTGTAGAGCTGTGTGGGTTTCACTCTCGTCTGGAGGGATTCCTCTTGCTGTACACGGGTACAGCTTCGGTTGGCGACTCGTGATGTCATTAATCAAGTTGCTTTGTTGGGTTAGATATTTCAGACCCTTTAGGCTGTTTGAGGTTCTGGGTCCCCCTGCTCCTCAGGCTGCATGTCTCTTAGGATCAGGAATTCCTGCCACCAAAGTGTGCATCAAACCATCCATGTCCCGTCCCAGCCTCCCCGAATAGAGCATTGGGCACAGCGTCGCCGCTGTGAGTCTGTACCGTCTATCTGCTGTCCTGCATGAGGAACGAGCAGCATGGAGCTAACAGAGCTAAATGGGGTGGCGGTTATGGGTGTTGGGTAGAGATCGGTCAATAGCCGATTTAAACTGGGCGATTTTCATCTTAAGTAGTTGATCAATGGCCTTTAATTTGATCTTGAATACTGATTTTGTGGGTAGTGCACTTTTGGGGAAGGGGGGGGCGCAAAAATCTCTTAGCACAATGGTCTTGTCTACACGACTGGGGGGGGCACATTTATCATTAGTGAGTTCATTGTCTAATTAAGGCTGATAAGGCTTTGTGAAGCAAGGTCGCTCCCTTTTAAACAAAGCGTTGCCATTTAAAATTCACCCGGTATCAAGAGCTGAATTGTGGACCCCACATGACCTGAAGCTCTTCTGCCCCAGTGAACAAGATGCGCTCACGTTCCCGATTTGGCAGGCCTCTCCGCCTCATTGCTCTGTCACCAGTATCACGGCTTCCCTAATAGAGTTTCCTGGGAGTATTTCCGGCAGCGTGCTACAAATGGAGTCGTCTGAATGGCCACCAGTCATTTCCTCTAGCACTTAACCTCCTGGGCGTGTTGTGAAATCTCAGCTGATATTGAATGGGGTCAGGTTTGGGCAGGGGGAGGCATTCTATGTAAAGTGAGCGGTGAGATGTTTCAGCTGTGGTTTGTAATCGGGATCAGTGATACAGCTTACACAGGGGTTTATAGGACTTGGGGGAGCCCTGACATCGTAATAGCAGTCTGTTTGTCTTGGCCAGCGAATGTTTGTTTTGGTCTTGTGGCTGTTCTCTGTACAGGGGTATTTAAGTCACATTTATAAGTAATTGAATCTGACTTGTGTGTGTGTGTGTTTCACTGAATGTTGTGGGGGAAAAACCATTACTCACATCAGATTGCGCTTGTATGATGGTATGTGACCTCACCCACTTCAGTCCTGTCACCAATCACTGTCTGTAGTCTCTGCACGTGAGCTGTGACTGACCAATCAGAATAAAGCTCACATATTTACTCCAGAAATTCTGATTGACCCTTTTCAGAAGTGACTTTTATGTAAACCTGTTTTCATCTTTGGTAAAGTTTTTGTTTCCGTTTTACAATTATTTTATTTTTGTCCATAGCAACTAAATTAGAAAGTATACTGTGATCTCACAGTAGATTGTAGTTTGCTGTAGATACTCTATTATAATGATCGTCAGTCTTACAAAGGACTTCACACGTTTATATTACACCTTACTTTAATGATACGGCTATTATGTACACAAGACATTGAATCTTCAAACAAGATCAGCCTTTAAATTTATACAGTACATATGGTGGTGAAGACACTTGGGTATAATTTTAAATATTTCCCCATCAAAAGTAGCCTATCGTAGCACACAGCAGAAGCTGCAGCGCAGTGGATGTCATATCTTGCGATGTTCCCTGTAGCCTTAAATTGAGTACGTGACTGGGATCTGGGGGGGGAGTTGGATTTCAGCAGTGTTCCCTCCCCCCACCCCAGATGAGGACTTCCTTTTGGATATTTGTTTGTTTCTTATCCAAGCGTTCTGGAGTGCTAAAGACAACATATTTGTTGGCCAACAGACATCACACTCAAAAAAATTCCTCCTAACTCCAGTCAGCCTTGCCGATTATCCAGTCTCTGCCAGCTGGGTCCTGGAAGGTAACTGATGGCTGCTGCAATGTTCTCTACTGAATCGGTTGTTATATGCTAAATAACTGAGTTTATTAAAAAAATGGGAGATACTTAAATTGCCTTCTTCCTGTGAATAAATACAGTTGTTCACATGAACATAAAATCTACTTGCTAAGCCGACTTGCCCATAAAAAAGAGGATTCTGACCCTTGAAGGTTTCTACAAAGTCAGTGGATGCTTGTTCCTGCGTCGTGTTTCTTTGAGGATTATTCAAACCTTTAATGTTCACCTCAGGCTTAGAGGTTACAAACACTGCCCCCCCCCTTTCCACTTGCTTTTCAAGTCTTAGGAAGGAAAGGGGGGGTTATTAATTGTTTATTGAATGAATGTTTAGTAATTCCAGTCAAACCTATGCTCTCCAACTCTGGGTGGAGTCCCTGCTCTTTGTCTCCCGCTAACCCCCAAAGTGATAGGAGGACAAAGCTGACTTTTGGCTTAACGCTCTTGTTGGGGGGATGGTCTGTGTTCAGGCTGCGTCTCCATATCAGCACTCTATTCTTGTTGCTCCTTCTTACTTCCTTCCAGGTTCCCACCCACAGTCTGCGCTGCTTTAGTTACCCCTGTGCGAGTAATTTCAGTCATTGTAAGTGCAAGGTCCTCACAAGTCAAAAGACAAAACACACACACGAAAGCCTAAGAAAGGGCGGAAGGATAGCCGACACGCGGAGCGAGCCGGACTATCCGAAGGACAGTTCTTGGGTCCGGGTCATGGCCGAGTCGCCACCTTCTGGTTCTGGTCGCATCCCACTAGTGGAAGGTGTTGGGGTTTGGCCGGATCATCATCACCACCTTCTTCAGCGAGTAGGCCGCGCCTCGGAACTCAGCCCAGTAGACGCCATCCTGATAATGACTGCGGTAGTGTCCTCCCCGGTACCACACGCCGTTCAGGTTGGAGTGTGCACAAGCGTTGTACCACCACCCTCCCTTCTGGTAATGGGCACAGTTGCCTGTATGGAAATGCAAATGCTGTTAAGATCAGAGAACCCCAACTGAGACATTAATGGATCCTAGCGGGTCGCGTGATCATGCTTAACAGAAATGCTGCTCCTGCCTCCAGACTGTTCCATTTCAGTTCGGTGTCTTTCCTCTTGTTTGTTTGATGTGTAGTTCAAAGGCTTGAGTAGCCATGAAGACATTATGTCATGGTTCACTCTGCCAGACTTGATTCAGCTAATATGAATTGATTGGTTATATCAGAATGCCAGGTTTTGGAATACGTCAGCTAAATGGAATGGCCAGGCGTGCCTGAGGAGAGTTTTACAGTAAAGTCGGGAGTGTGTTTTATGGTATTTGATGACATACTGTGTCACACAGGATGGAGTGGGGATGGTGCATTGCAGGTACCTGTGTATACGTCATGGTCCCTGTCTAGCGTGGTGAACTGCTTGCCGTTGTGCCAGGTCAAGGAGTCGCCCGCATTGCCGTGGTAACGGCCCACACGCAGCCTGTAAAAGTCGGCCTCGGCCTCGAGCCGGAAGCTGGCATACTCTGCGAACACCCTCCGGCTCGACCAGTCCTCCATGATCACCAGCAGCTTGTAGTTGCCTTGGTTGGTCAGCCAGTAGATGTTCTCCAAGCCCAGCCAGTACTCTCCGTCGATGTTGCCAAATCCTTGCTGTGGAGCAGAATAGAGGTTCTCATGTTGCCTATCCCAATCCGTGGCACCACATTCCTCATCTAGGTTAAGATAGGTGACCTGTTTGACATACAATCCTAAGCAGATATTCAGGAGTAGAACTCATAAGATGTGTCTGTGATTCTTGAAAAAGTTTTGTCAGTGTTGCTACTGTATGTCAGAGCCTGTGGCCTGCTAGATTGACATAGAAGGTAGGCAAGTCATGTGACCATCATGATAAAGGAGGTAGGAACCTTGGTCCTCCTGTATGAACAATGGGGATTGGTGATCATGAGAAAAACGGCTAAGCCCTTTTCTAACAGACCAGCTGTCTAGAGAATACAGGAGGTGAGAGACACAATCGCAGGATGCGTGTGAAGGTCCTTCTCAGACTCGCTCCATATCTTCCAGGCATTTCTCTGCCACATGGTTAACATTTCTGGTACTGCTTTGTTTGCGCTCAGCCTCATTTGTGCTCTGGGCTACAGTTGAGCTGGTGTTTATATTGAATTTCCCAGTTTAGGTGCCGAGAGCAGAGAATGAACTTGTTTCACTCAGTTCTGTGAAAATCTCATTGTTGCGTGAATGTTTTGTTTGCGTATTTTCGTGGCTTAGTCGTTTGTGTACGTCTATGTTGCAATCACACGGCATTCTTTAGGGTCACTGGAGTAATTATGCTGGTAAATCCCTCTTCCCTCAAAATAAGGCTGTGGATGCATAATAATGTTTATAGGAAATCATGGGAGGTGGGCAGATTCTCATGGTGCAGGTGACCGCGGTATGAACCACAAATGTGCAGATAGTGCAAGTAACTCATCTTATGATGTCGTGGCACTGTACTGTGACATGAGGCTCTAATATTTCCATCAGACCTGAGCTCTGTTCACGCATCAGCTTGGTAGAAAGTCCTACACTAGTGGTTTTAGGACCTAGCTAGTACCACCTATCAGGTGGGCCTGGGCAGTGATGCCATATGGTCCATATATCTCCAAGTCGTTATTTTGGGTGTCAGTTACACACAGGTCAAATATATTGTTTTAAGTAGGGATGTATCAATATTCCATACTAGTCTCTGTATCTGGTCTGGTATCTGGTCCGATACCGGATGGCAAGTTTTAACGCTGGCTGTTTACCAGTGTCTGCATGTATTTTTGTTCAGGTGTTCACTTTTTTTTTTTTTTTCCAATGGGGGGATTTCAATATTATCATTTATCCTAATATTTTTAAGTCAATATAATGCATATTGGTTTTTTAAAACACTGCCCAGTCCTAATTGGTATCTGTATCAGTGAGTACCAGAAAGTGAGTATCACTACTCATACTCAATATCGTAAAATACATGCAGACTTCCTTCACACCCTTAAATTACTTTAAATGATCACATACTGGGTAGTTAAGCCCTGTATGGGGCTATTGTTTCTAAATTTTTAACAATTTACCGTCCCCATGTCTAACTCGTGTTAACCCCGACCCAGCCTTAACCTTAACCATAAGTAACCAAACAAAAAACAAGACTCTGGCATTTTTAGTTTTTACATTGCAGTCACAGATTTTTATAAAATTGAGTTTCCTCTTGTGGGGTCTAAAAAAATTGTCCCCACAAGGTCAAAACAGGTTTTTAATCACACAGTGTGACATTTTGTCCCCACAGTGTAATATACTATATATATAACCCAACATACACACACACACGCTCAGGTTTTTCCTGGTACATCCTCTCCTGCATGGTCACCTTGTACACCTCCCAGTTTCCGAAGAAGTTCACTGAGCCGTCCTGCCGCCTCTGGATGATGGTCCAGCCGCCCGGGTCGTGTCGCTGGTCGCACCACACCTGCATCAGACGGTTGCCGTTCTCAGGTTTCACCAAGTATATGCCACTGGTGTCGTGGCCGTCCTCCAGCGCTCGCAGGCAGTCCTTCCAGGGCCCTGCAGGCGACACGAGAGAGCAGCCCGGCATGACGCCGCTGAAGTCGCGATCTGTTCAAAACTGGAGGAATCGTGTGTGCATTCTGCATCTCTGCATACATGTGCAGATCCTGCGGGTCAGTTTTTTTTTTTATATATATATATATATATAGCGTTATTCACAATGCAGTCCCCCCAAGACACTTCACATGGGTTTGTTGTGATGCGTTACATCATTAAGAGAGAATAATACAAAAACAGGAAAAGGGAGGACAAAGAAATGAAAGAAAGCCAGATGACAATGGAGGAGAGGAGCCAAAAACTCCCTAGTAGGGAGAAAAAAAATCTCTGGGGGTCCAAGGTCACCTGGCTGCCCAACCACCCCCCGCCCCCCGGGCATATTAACATTATTGAAATTGCAACTAAAATTGCACCTGAATTGCAGCTAACAGGCTATTGTCTGGTTAACGCTGGTTAACGTGCTTCTGTCTCTTGCCTGCTGCCTGCAGAATCATGTCCCTGATAATAAAAATCAGTGCTGATGTTTTATCCATCCTGCTTTTCAGTAGCCAGCCTTTTGTACTGGTGATTGTTTTCCCAATAGCTTAAGCCCCAGACGTCATGCCAAGCACGTCAAGTGGCTCGCCTTCCCGTGTGGGTCCGAGGCCTTGTCCTCAGCTCCCTTATTCCGTAATGGGGGAAAATAAAGGTTTGTTTCCCATTGAGCCCTGACCTGTTGTTGCTGTTATACAGGAGCCCGGGAGGGATTCCAGCTTAATCCAGATGGATTTGCTAAATCCCTGACCAGGTAGCGCGGAAAGCAGCCAGGTGTGTGACAGGAACCCGAGTCACGCACGCGTCTGACGGTGCCAGGGACAGTGTCACTGAAATGATTCTTTATTTGCCGTCTGTATGAGCATGAATACATTAGCGTGCCTCTCCTCGCATATCCCATCATGCTCTTCACAGAGACACGCACAGACGGGGGAGAACGAGGTTTGGAGTCCGAGCACAGGCTCCGCCAATTAGCCAGCGGCCCTGGAGCGTTTTGGGAGGTTAGGGGCTATGATTAAGGACCCAGCAGATTCGGCCTAGCAATCTTCTAGTCATTGGCACGGAAGCCTCACCTGCTGAGTCA